TGAATGTTCTAGCTCCGTTGATTTGACACATTGGAATGTGTCAAAAAAGGGGGGGAAGGTTGAGCTTTAACATCAAACCAGGATTATTTGAACATTTTATAACTTCATTTGTGTCTTTAATAATTTAGGAATGGTAAAGCTTAAGCTAATAGCGGTCCGAGAAGACGGACCTTTTAGAGAATCAGTGAAAAAGCATAAACTATCACTTTCATGTTTAATCATTACTCATAGAAATGAACTGAATAGCGTTTAGAAGATTTGTTAATTTTTTGTCTTTTGTTAAAAAGAGGGTTTCAATAATTTTCAGACACACCTTGCAAATGTGCTTATAACGAGTTGGCACTCGGCCTTTTGAAGGTCAGAAGCTTCGTTCGGCGTGACTGTCCGGACTGATAAAGTGTAGGAAATGCCTTGAGTGCAGAGGGCTAAATGCAAACATGCTTACACACACATGAGATATGATTAGAATAAGTCCCTGGGACATTCTGAATGTTTTAGACCAATTCTGAATCACTAGAAGGTCAGTAGATAAGAACATTAGATTATCAAGGCTAGGGAGAGAGGTGTTTTGGTTTTCTGTCTCTTACAGAGAAAGGAACAGACACCAGACGAGGTCACAGAGATGCGAGGATCCTCCGTAGCAGAGTCAGACACAGTGACTGCCGAGACATCAACTGGGTCCAAGGGTCATGGCGTTTGGGCTCCAGCTAGTCACCACAAAAGGATGGATCCCATAAACACAGCAATAACCATGAAGGGGTTGGCGGAAAACCAGGAACACCAGACCAACGAGGTTCGAGAGGCTCTTGGCAGAAAGGGGACACGCCGGTGAACCCAAAACACACAGATCCTTGTTTGAAATCGAGGCAGAATAATCCCCAGAACTGTGCAATGACTAAAGGGTGGTCTAACCCCGGAGGTCGAAGAAAGAAGCTGAGAATCACCCAACTGGAAGACACTGGTAGCTGCAGCAATAAAAATAAAGGTTAAAAGCTCCTTAGACAGAGGTTCTAGTCTAAGTACATTTGAAAGGTATAAGGGGGCATTAAAATGGGAGTGGAAAACTGGAGCACCAAAATAAAGCTGTGGGAAAATGGGGAGTGATGGGAGTGTCATCTGTAACTGCTGTTATGGTTGTAAATCTAACTTTGCTTGCATCTGAACTGCGTGAACACAGAGGTCATCCCACATATGGTCCACCCGTTAAAGGGGGACAGAGGGCCTCAGGTTCAAGAAAACCTGGACCTTGCAACCCTGGAGTGCATGTTGTAAGTGATCTCTTTCAGAGATCAAAAGGGGGAATTATTAAATTATTCTGTTATTATATGTTACCTTATATATGTAATCAAAGTAGTTGAATTAGAATACTGCTGTAGATCATATTATACCCTTTAAAATAGAGTGTGTGAGCTGTATGTAGTTTAGTTCTCATTATACTTTTGAGTTAACAGAACATATTCACATATTAGTCCATTAGATAAATGTGCATCACTCTGTATCCTTGATCTGCTGGGAATGTGTTACACTGTTTTCTTGACATGCTTAATTGTTGAATCATGAAGAGAAGGTTGTAAGCAGGAGACTCTGTGTCTAAAGACAGGGGAGATAGACAGACCACATTCCACACCCCCACCTTACAGAAAGAAGAGAAACAACTGCCGAGGTCATAACTTAGGCGCTGTAACAGAGAAAAATGTGATGTTTTGGCTTTCACGACTAGCTGGGGGCCACTAGAGACTATAAAAAGCTGAGCAACCCGTCACCATTTTGAGACATGCTGTCGAACCTCTGCAGGCATCTCTCCCGTCCGGACGTTGTAATGCTCTGACTGTTGAATTGTATGGAAATAAATGATTGTTGATTGAGCATTGATACACCGAGTATTGTCCCTCCTTCAGCCCAAAGATTCAAAGAACTGCGTGTTTTCAACAGCTCTGAGAGAGTCTGGTGGTCAGATTTAAACCCTGCGAGGCTGCTCTGATAAACAAGATGGACATTCACATATGCATTCTCAACATTTTTTTCTAAATGATTTAACAAAACCAGAGAGCTGATTTAGCAGGAGAAACCTCCGAATGTGGAACCATCAAGTCTGACACATGTGCGCAGGATAGAAACATGTCTGTTTTTTCTCTTTTTTCCTGACAGTAAAGCCTCTTCTCAGTCATGCAGACATCTTTCTGCTGCCATCTACTGGCTTTTATCTTTCTGTGACTGATGCCTTTATACACCATGCAAATATCAATCAGCCACTATATTAGGAACACCTTACTGGTACTGGGTTGCACCTAGCTCAGCACCTTCTCATCTGGGAAGAGAGATCAGAAATAAAGGAGAAAAATGTTTGAAAATGACGCACTGAACCAGAGAATTGCTAAAAGACACATAGACACAACCTAGTTCATCTTCATCAAAGTTGCTAAGCTAAATCAAAACTATCAGCAAAGCCTCAGTACTGATGAAAACATAAACGGGCTCCTGAAAGACAAAAAAAAAAATCCACTGCAGCTGGCACAGTACAGCACATTTACAAATGAGAGAGACCGGGTAGGTCTGCTCTCCAGCAATAATAACTGAATGACTGAATAACCCAAATAGAAAAGACCTTTATTATCATTGTACATGTACAACAAAATTCTAGGTGTTCCACAGCAACTGTGGAATAAAATAACATATTAAACATAAAGAATAAATAAAATTATAAAATCAGGAAGAATATATACATAAATATGTACACGAATAGGAGAAAGGCATACATTAGAGAACAAAATAGTTGAAAAGTGCTTGAAAGCATTGCAAAGATCTGTGCTCAGGTCACTTCTGTCATCATAAGTCCAAACAGTGTCATTGTATGTACTAGTGGTCAGTTTTGGTATTACAACAATTGATATCGCCTGCAGCACCGACTTACCAGGACACCTCTCTTCTTGATCTCCTCTTGGGTGTAATGGCTCCCAAAATAATGGTTTTACATTAGAGTAATTTAATAATATGACACACTACTGTACTAAAGTCATCAATAATAATTTTATTGCCGCTCATTTCATTACAAAAGCTCTTCAATTATCTGCGCAATGAATGAATTAAAAATCTATCAGATGTGTTTTTCTTAATGCTACAATCAGCTGTCAATTTGTGTGCAGGGAGGAGGAAAATGGTGGTGAGGTCGACAACTTTTGATGAGTGGAGATATTACTTTTGTTTTTGTACCACGAGAGGCTGAGAGTGTGATGGGAAAGTTGTTCTGCTTCAAGCACAGAAAAAAAGAAATCGCCATCGAGACTTTAACTCTGTGCAAACATCTGCATGAAGAGCACGCTAACACGAAACTAGCCAAGGACTAAATTCTTACATACTGGATTTCCTTGAAATATATCTCTTTGTACACACACACACACACACACACACACACTTTCTTTCAACCACTGAATGATTTTCCTTCTGTCTTTACTCTGTGGTTGAGGTTAAGCCGCTTGCCTGTTCTTTGTTATCTGCTCTCAACAGAGGTGTGTATCAGTTAGAAACACAGTTCAAAGTTTCCATCACTGCTCTTTCTGAAACCCACAGAACCACACGACAGGAACAACATGTGACAGCAAAGTTTATTGATGCTGCAGAGGAAGCAGGACAACGCTGTAGAATCAATTGCATGGTGACACACAAAGAGCAAAGTTACAGAAGGCATTCAAAACAATACTTTTATATTTTAGTTACTTTTAGTTACACTACATACAGACTGACCTGTATAGCCACTGAGAGTGTAAATTATAGCGAGAGGACACTGCACAATATAGACAAGTAAATATTATAAGTCAAATTCCTCAGGTCTGATGGGCTGTGTGGACCAGTTAGAGACCAGCAGCTGGTCATTGGTTGGACTGGTGGACTACAGCTATATAAATAAACTTGCCTTGCCTTACAGTGAAGAGTAGACAACGTCTGAACACAGACACACACACAGTTGAAATGGTGTGAGAATAGAGAATAAAAGGCTTTTCTAAAACTCATCTGATATGTTTATGTGAAGTAAACTGACAGAATGGGGAGAAGAGTTAAAGCACATTGGTAATAAATTTACATTTGATGTTGAGGGTTCGGTGAGATAGTGACGTCGTCTCTCTGAAGATCAAACTGGTTACAGGAGAAACAAACTGCAGATAAAGCTTCATATGTGTGAGTTCAGTTTGAAGTTAAACTGATCAGCTACAAATTTGGGAATTTTAACGAAGTTTTAATATTAAGCCTGAAGTATGATGTAAATGTGAAGGATTAAATAATAAATAAAAAATGTAAAGTATGATATTGCACAGCATCTGCACCCGATAATGTTTTTGACATTAAAGTGATTTCAAATTGCCTCTCTATCACACACCAAACTATGAGGTCAAGTTTAACCCATTAACAGCCAATATGCCGCACAAAAAATGTTAACTACAAAATGCGAAATAAACTCAGTAAAGTAAATTACTGAGAGAGGACAAATCTCCCTATGTTCATACAGTTTACAAGATGTTCACAGCTTACAGGTGGAGGATGCTGCTGATGTGATTTCATCTTTATAAAAGTGATTTTTACAATTGACCTGCTGAGTTTGTTTGTTGCATAAATGATATTCAACTATTTATAAAAAGGAACAGAAGCCAAGGAAAAAAACTTCATAATCTTTATGCTCGCTTCTATTAAACAAAAGAGACAAACCCTACATCACATTAAAAAGATTAGAGCCTCATTAATGCAGAGGATACATGAACCACCAGGCAGAGCTGTTATGATGTCACATCAGGAGTTTAAAATATGTATGTGTGGGAAAAGAAACTTAGAGAAACATCCAGTAACTTCCATGAAAATAGTAGTTACTGGATGTACCTCCAGTTCTATGAATAGTTGTGTTGTCTCCTAAAGTGTGGACAGACTGTTGTGGACATGTTCCCCTCATGAATACAAGGAACAGTAATGTAACCTAGTCGGATAAAATCAGATATAAGTCATAAGCTTTAGTTGTACTTTCATTCTTGGGGCAAATTCTGCTGATCCTGACACTTTTGTACTTTGACTTATGTAACATTTTAAAATCAGACCTGACATGCCAGTGAAAGGGTTTGGACACATTTCCCATGAGATCATTTCAGTAAATATTATGATGACACAAATGTACAAAATACATCTCTTTTCTTCTTTTCTTTTCTTCTGTCCTGCACAGTAAACATTTAGTCAGATCGCAAAACTCTCGATGACAGTAAAGCATTACTGTAGAATGTAACAGTTACAATTCATAACATGATACCAGTGATATTCTGAAAGTGAATAAAGAGCAGCTGTACCTGTTTGTCCATAAATGATGTCTTCAGTTCTCAGGGCTGAGTGGACGGGAACAGGATCACTCTCTGTACAATGAAACACACACAGAGGACATCACTGCAAATGCTACAAGTTATAAAAGTGTTTTTAAAAAAGACAACAACTTATCAACTTAACTTTAAAAGCTTCTTATACAATGAAAATATTTCCTAAAAATTTCACCAGTTCTTTTTTGTGTGGATAAGACCACACTTGTTATATTTGTTCATTTATTGTAAATAATATGAGAAGAAAAAACATTTTATCAGAAGGTACAAAACAGACCCACACTTTGTCACACTGTATATATTGTGTTGACAGATTCAAGTTTGTCTTCATTTATCAGCTCAGTGGAAACAGCAGTGGGGGCTGCTGTGGTTTTCCATGCAGTGTTTTTAAAGGACAGTTTGAGATGCTGAGGTGTGGTTCATTTAAATTTTACTTCAAACATTATTTTCATGCAGAGTTCTAATGTCATCTTGTCTTTTAATTGATCAAAAGTAGAATAAAGAGTTCTGTTTTTATGTTTTATACAAATGTTCATCATCCAGTGATGACAAATTTACTGCATTGAGGTTGGTTCATGACATCTGCCGTGCATAAATACATCCTGATCACAGGCATAACAACAACTCAAAGTGAGATGCTGTGGCCTATCATAAACTCTGATGATCTTCTTCAGCTGTTCTATCACAAGCAGATTTACTCATAAATACAAATATAATGTCTGTACGTGTGGAACAAAGAACAGCCCAATAACCAGGGATCCTGAGACTGACTGGACCAGGATGTTATGCAAACTATAAAATGATTCAAACCATATCAGTAAAATACAAAACTGTGACATATATGTGAGCAGAACTGATCTTGATTCTGTTTGCACACTAACAATCCTGCAGTACAACCTGAGCAGATGAAGTATTTTTATCTGACAGAGGAAACATGACGACCACAGAGCTGTTAGTTTCTGTTAACAGACTAACCACAGGCTGAAAAACACACAGCCCAACATGCAAAGAACAGCATTGATTATCACCTACAAACTCACAACATACAACTCTGTTCTGTCAGCCGAGCATAAAACAGCTTTTCTCTCTCCTGTCTCACAACTTTCAGCTTTCTCAGGCTCTCTGCTCTCTGTTGGTCTCTTCATCTCTCCTGGATTTAGTTGGCACAAAAACTCCAGAGAGCACAAGTTCTAGAAGACAGAACTACAAGGTTTAAAGATATTTAAGACTTTAATGCTGAAATAAAAATCAATTTTTAAAAAAGATTCATCCATTTACAGTAGGAGAGTGATAATTATGAACAGTCACTGAATGTCAACTGGGAAAAAGTTTTAAATGTTATTTTGTCAAAGACTGAAACAGTGCTGCTACTATAGCTACATATTATACTGCACCACTCAGAAACCTTTAAAATAAAATGTGCACAGATTTTGTTAAAGTTGCCAAATTCAAAACTGTCAGAGATTATCAGTAGATGCAGCTAATCTATCAGTATGAGAAGCCTACATGATATTCTTCCTGAGATAAAAACATTTTCAGACAGCATTACATCTGAATCTAAGGTCAAGGTCACCAATGTTTGAACTTGTATGAGATTTTTTGTACGTAGTGAGTTGTTGTATTCATAAAGTTGTGTGACACATTGTCTCCAAAAGTTGATTCTGTTCATCTGGACGTAGCGTTTTGTGGGAGAAACGTTTCGTCACTCATCCAAGTGACTTCTTCAGTCTCAGCTGACTGCAGGTTTCCCCAAATCTTATAAACAGTACATTTGCGTAATGACTCATAATGAATCAAAGACCATTGATCAACTGTCTGTATGATCAACTCGGTCACCTATAACATCTCCAAGTTTCTGGCTTCGATCCTCAACCCGCTGGTGGGCAGCTCTGAGCACCACATCCAGAACACGTTGGACTGAGAAGGTGAGAGATGTCATTATGGAGGCAGATGAAACCATGGTCTCGTACGACGTTGCATCTCTCTTCACTTGCATCCCAGTCACGGAAGCGTTGGAGGTAGTCCGTAAGAGATTACAGGATGACACCAACCTCAGAAACAGGACCACTCTCAGCATCGACCAAGTGTGTTTGCTTTTGAAACTGTCTCCATTCCACCTACTTCACATACAAGGGTGGCCAATTTGTACATGGAAGAAGTAGAAAAGAGCGAACACCATCCCCACTGACACAGCGGCCAGGGAGGCAGAAGAACAGCACATCAAGAAGGCCCTGAGTAAATGTGGTTATCCCAGCTGGACTTTTGTCAAAGCTGGGAAGGCGCCAAAAGAAAGCTCCAGCTAATCCAGGAGAGAAGGACAACTGCTGCTCAAGCGAAAAACTGTAGTGATCCCATATGTGTCAGGAGTACCGGAACAGTTGAGATGCATTTTTTTCTAAACACCAGGTCTCTGTGGCTTTTAAACCCCAAAACACACTGTGCCAAAAATTGACTCACCCAAAGGATCGGGTCCCCCGACACAACCAGAGTAACATAGTGTACGCTGTTAAGTGCAGGAGGATTGCCAGGATTTATACATCGGGGAAACCAAACAACCTCTGGTGAAGCAGATGGCACAGCACAGAAGAGCTACCTCGTCAGGCCAGGACTCTGCAGTCTGTTTACACCTACAGGCCAGTGGACACTCTCTCAATGATGAGGATGTAACATCCTGGACAGGGAGGAACGCTGGTTTGAGCGCGGAGTCAAGGAGGCCATTTACGTGAAAAGGGAAAGACCATCACTGAATCGAGGAGGGGCCTAAGGGGACATCTGTCACCATCTGACAATGCTGTGATTGCAGCCATTCCCCAACTCTCTGTGAATGGTACTCATGGCCATTGATCAGTGGTTGTTGATCAGTGGTCATGAGAATTTGCATAATTATGATTAAGGAACTGACCTCCCAGCCCATTGTTCCTTCACTGAGCTGGTTTCAGTCATTATGCAAATGTGCTGGTTATAAGATTGGGGAAACCTGCACTCAGCTGAGACTGAAGAAGCCACTTGGATGAGTTACAAAACGTTTCTCCCACAAAACGCTACGTCCAGATGAACAGAATCAACTTTTGCAGATTTACTTACCTGGATGATTGAGCATGGATCAAGACGCGTGACACATTAGTTTAAGCTCAGTGAGTTCACAGAGTTCCTTTAGCCAAGTTTTAAAATTCCTCTAAATATTAACATGAAGACTAAACACACAGCGCATTAAAAACTACCTCTGCTTCCTCTGATTGGCTGTTGTTGATGACTTGAGATTTTCTGTGACTGTACGTGATGTCATCTCTAACTTCTCCATCAGCTGAAATGAGCCAGAATGAACAGCAAATTGATTTACTGTTTCATGCTGTGAGAAAAATATTAGTGAATATCACATCAAAATAATTTACTGTGAAAAACAAAGTCTGAGTCTCACCTTCAGTTTTCCTGTGAACACATGGTCCCCCTAACAGAACCAGTAACACCAGTAAGAACCCACAGATTGATTTAAGAAATGACAACACAGAGAGAGCAGTGGAGGACAGTGATGGAGGAGAAGTAGATGAAGAATGAGGTGTGGATGTAGGTGGAGGTGTGGATGTAGGTGGAGGTGTGGATGTAGGTGGAGGTGTGGATGTAGGTGGAGGTGTGGTGGTGTGTTCCTCTGAAACAAAGCAAACACAGTCATTAAGTTGTCGTCACATTGTGAATGTTGAACCTGCAGAAACACAGACAGGTAAGTGTGTCACCTGTGACAGTGATCCAGCTGGATGGAGACTCTCCATGACCGCTGATGTCACACTTGTAGAGGCCTTCATCAGACCTGGAAACATGCTGGATGGTCATGTGACCTGTAGGCTGCTTCCTGATGAGGGAGCCATCTTTATAGAAAGCAGCTGGGAGGTTGGAGGGAGTGGTCTTTGTTTTACAGAGCAGAGTGACGTCATCTCCCTCCATCACAGGGAGGACAGGACTCTGCAGGATCACTGATCCACCTCAACACAGAGACAAACTACAGCATTTCATCCATTTACACACAGCTTCATCAACACTAACGCCACACACTCAGCTTACCAGTGACTGTCAGGTTAACCATGTTACTGATGGGACCCTCTCTGGACTCACACCAGTAAACTCCACTGTCCTGAGGGAAAACAGTGATGTTACAGGAAGAACCAGACCATCTTCCCCACCCATCTCCACACTGAGTGATCTTATTATTGGTCCTCAGAGTCCATCCAGCAGAGCTGTCGTCCTCCTCACAGCTCAGAGAAACAGAGTCTCCTTCAAAGAACTGAGAGCTGCTGGGACTCACAGTCAGACGAGCTGTGAGGGTTACAATGAAAAACTGTTGATATTTTATATTTTATAACTTCTGTCTTAGACAGTCATTAAAAATGCACTTTGGTTTGTCAATTTTATTTCTGAAACTCAATCAGGTCATATCTGTGAGCATTTATCAGGTTTAAACTGTGACAGAAGAAGGTTACTGACCTTGGGTTGTTGTGCAGCTCAGCAGTGAGATCAGAACTAAAGAGAAATGACACTCAGGTTGATTTGAGGTGAACATAAAGAACAACTCCACACAAACAGCTGACAAACTGTTTGTGTGGAGTTATGGAAATATGGTATCTAACCAGATTCTTACTCTAGATGGCATTGGCTTCCAGTAACACTGTGAGGAACCTTTGAGTGATTTTTTAACCAGAATATGTCCTTCAATGCACATTTTAAACAAATATGTAGTATGACGTATGTATGTGTACGATGCTGAAAAACTAGTTCATGCATTTATTACTTCCAGGCTGGACGACTGTAATTCATTATTATCAGGATGTTCTAAAAACTCCCTGAAAAGCCTTCAGCTGATCCAAAATGCTGCAGCAAGAGTCCTGACAGGGACAAGAAAGACAGCAGATTTCTCCTGTTTTGGCTTCCCTTCATTGGCTTCCTGTTAAATCCAGAATTGAATTCAAAATCCTGCTCCTCACATACAAGGTCTTAAATAATCAGGCCCCATCTTATCTTAATGACCTTGTAGTACCATAACTTCGCTCTCGCTCTGCAGGCCTACTTGTTGTTCCTAGAGTATTTAAAAGTAGAATGGGATAGAATCCATTCAATGACAATTTTTACATTTTTTACATTTTACATTTTTACTCTTTGTAAACATCAACCATTCAGCTGCTAGAAGAGTAATCAGTGTGATTATATGGGACACCTTCAGTCCTAGAGTTAATAGTTTCTATTCAGCCTGATTTGTTTTTCATGTCTTCTCCTCCATCATCAGTTATCAGGAGAGCAGACAGTCAAAGTACAAGAATTCAAACAAACACAGAGATTCTACTTACAGAGCAGACACAGCACAGATGTTTCCTTCATCGTCCTTCTCACTCATTTGAGCTTTTTTTCATTTCTGTCACTGACACCAAGTAAAGCCCGCCCTCTTCCTCTGAGCACCAGCTTTTCTATTTGTTCAAACACAGAGGAGGTAACTCATGTTTTGCCTTGTCTAAAGATAGAAGTGAATAGAATTGTTTAAATATTCATATCAGTGAAAAAGCTCAAGTGTAGTTTTTTTTCTGGAAATACTTTGAAATAAAGTGCTGTGGCTTAAAGTTGCCACACTAACACACACGACCAGAAGATCATAACTGTTTTAAGATCATCTGATTATATTTCATAACTGTCATGGAACATTTATTCTCCCAAATCATATATAATTATGGCCACTAGTGAGCGGTGTTTGACCTTAAAGTCTATCCGATTGTTCAGTCTGACGTCACTAGCCGTGTCTGGGTCTAAACTCCGCTGCAGGTCCATATATCAAACGATCACTATGGCATTACTGAGAGTTGAAAAACTGTCTAAAGTCTTTCATCTTTAATAAAATGATCAGCGTTCTGCTCTACCAGGTGTAACAATTGAGTTTAACATCCAGGCATCCATGAAAACGGAATTTATGACATTTAACGGAGTTAGAAGTTAGCAGGGAGTTAGCTCGCTAGCTTCTATCTAAATACAATATAGCATGTCCTGACTGCGGGGTTTTGGAAACAAATTAAAACGTACAGCTCTGCTATCACTTCCAGCATAAATGAAGACAGAAAACTAAACAGCAGTGACGTTTGCAGGGTTACTGAAGTTGGGCTAGCTGGTATATAATGATGTGCTACGTGACCGCTAGCGACACAGCTATGTTTGCATAATATACACAAGCTAACTTTTTTTCCACTCGATAAAAGTTAACGTGAGTGTTCTCGGTGGTCAGGAGCAAATGTAATCGCATGGCAGGGTGCTGTAAAAGGACCAAACTTCAGCCAGGAGAACAACTGAGATAATCCATCCACAATACGAGGTTAGTCATTCATATACTGCTGCATGGGCTGGGCTGTAGTTACATCCTAAGGTTTTAAAAACTGAGCTTAAATAAATGATTAGTGGTAATAAAAGCCGAGGGAGGTCAACAGTGATCACTGACTGCAGTCAGTGATCAAAAGCTATATTAAACGCAGACTACTTTAGACCCGGAAGTAGGATTCGTCGCGTCATCACTGAACAACCGGATAACGATACAAGCAAATTGTCAGTGATGCTTCTAGTTTGTTTTGCCTAGTTCTCATTAGCAGTCAGTTCCTTCATTTTTACATATAATATTGCATTACTTTTTAATTAGGTAATGCGGCTACATTAGAGAGCTTTAAGGGGGCTTTTATTGTGAAAGTGTTGCAGGTTGCACGATGATCAGATAGCAGACATGTAGATAAGGCTGATATAGAGAAATGATTTTAGAATATGTTTATGATCTAATCAGGAGCTCACCTATAGCAATTCATTGTTTTGTTCCAACACGCCACAAACTTAACAATGACATCATCATAAAAACTGGAGCCACTGATTAGTCCGAGTTTTGAGTTCAAACTCTGCTGACCTAAATGAAAAGAATGAAAAGACAACATGCCATAAAATTGTTTTCAAAACTTTATTGTCAATAAACAGAGTCACAAAAAAATAAAATTAATGAATTAATCAATCAATAACATTTGACCTTATTTTGAAATGTAGACTGCAGTAACAGAGATGCATTCATGGAGAGAAAAGATTAAAAAAAATCAGAGAAAACATCTAAATCTGCAGTTGCACTGACGAAACACATAACACTGTACATTATAACATTCATTCAGTTGAAGATGATCAATAAATCCTAAACACAATCAGGCAGATCACTGATCGTTTATAATCCACAGTAATCCATCGTTTCTTCACCACATGCAGTGTTTATGGTGCAGGTTGGTTCAGTCAGTATCAATAATTATACTGTAACAGCTGATCTCTGCATGAGGATTAATTTGTGTTGTTCAAACCTCACAGAACCAGTTTGATCTCACAAACAGCTGAACCTGAAGATGAAACACACTCAGTGTCTCTGTTATTGTAACATACAGGACACCGAAGTGACAAATAAGGAGGGCAAACCAATGATAAACAAATTCTGCTCACAATCACAGATTTTTTTAAAATGAGTTCACTCAGAAGCTGAATATTTTATTTTGAAAAACGTTGATCTTATTTGATGTGTATTTGTTTGATAATGTGACCTCCTGTGTTCTCCACATATGAAGTGAGGCAGAAATGAAAATAACTTTAAGACTTGAAACTTACACTGGGATGAGCAGCTAACCTGATAAAATAAGTCACAGATTTCAATGCTGTAGGTTCATCATGTGAAATTTCATGTAACAATCTAAACAAGTCTGATGAAAATCAGAGAAATGTGAAATCAAAAATAAATATGGACGCATTTGATGTCCCTCTGATTGAGGTTCAGCATTATTAGTTTCTTTGTCTTAAAATCATCCTTCTTGATTTCAGTGAAACAGAATTTAGGACTGTGATGAGCAAGTAGATTCATAGTTCACCTTCTTAACCTTCTTGTGTTTTTGGTAGATCAAAAAAGCAACAGCAACAAACAGAAGAACAGCAGCAACTGGAAGACCGATGATGAGTCCAACAGATCCTCCTGTTTGAGCTGCAGGTGAGAAACAGGTGTGAGGTGTCAGCTGTCAGGTAGGTGATGAGTGAAGAACAGAACAGAATCCATTTCCTCTTCAAACTGCTGTCAGACATTATCTACTGCACTCTGATCACATCACTCAGACCAGCTGCTTTCTACAAAGTCTCATCAACAACATCTTTAGAAACAAACATCAACAACCAGGAAGCAGCTTCACCTCTGATCACACACACACTCAACTCTACTCACTCACCTGGAGGATCAACAACACTCAGGGTGATGCTGCTGATGTGGGCATATGAGGCTGTTGCAGAGGAGCTTCAAACCATCTGTATGTTTCTGGATGACACCACACTCGTATGTTCCAGCGTCATTAATCGTCACATCCTTCAGAATCAAAGACACGTCTCCATCCTTCATCTGTCTGTCCTGCAGATCCACCCGGTTCTTAAAAGATGGATGCTGGTGATCTGGATCAAAGTGCCCGTCCCGGTACAAAAGGACTTGTCCAGACTCCAGGTCAGTTTTGCTCCACTCTACAGCTGTGATGTTGTTGTTTGGAGCTCGACATGGCAGAG